GGGGGGGTCCCGGTCCTGGGGGGTCCCGCGGGGTCCTCGGGGGTCCCTCGGCGCTGCTGCTCCCAGTGCTCCCAGTAAGGACTCCCAGTGCTCCCAGTAACAGCTCCCAGCGCTCCCAGTAACAGCTCCCAGCGCTCCCAGTCCCTCCCAGTCCGTCCCAGTTTGTCCCAGTCCCTCCCACACTGTCCCAGTTTGTCCCAGTCCCTCCCAGTTCCCTCCCAGTTCCCTCCCACACTGTCCCAGTTTCTCCCAGTTCCCTCCCAGTCTGTCCCAGTTTCTCCCAGTCCATCCGTTCTGGGCACTTCATGCTCCAGGAATGTCGGGGCTCTCCCAGTTCATCCCAGTTAACCCCAGTTCATCCCAGTTAACTCCAGTTCATCCCAGTTAACCCCAGTTCATCCCAGTTCATCCCAGTTAACCCCAGTTCATCCCAGTTNNNNCCAGTTCATCCCAGTTCATCCCAGTTAACCCCAGTTCATCCCAGTTAACCCCAGTTCATCCCAGTTAACCCCAGTTCATCCCAGTTCATCCCAGTTAATCCCAGTTCATCCCAGTTGCGACACTGGGGCTGGGCCCTGACCCAGTTCCCTCCCAGTTGATCCCAGTTCCCTCCCAGTTCCCACCAGTGCTCCCAGTCCGACCAGTTCCAGCCCTGCCGGCCTCAGCCACCCCCACACCAGTTACACCCCAGTTCAATCCCAGTTAACTCCAGTTAACCCCAGTTCATCCCAGTTCAATCCCAGTTAACCCCAGTTCATCCCAGTTCCATCCCAGTTAACCCCAGTTTATCCCAGTCCATCCCAGTTTGTCCCACTTCCATCCCAGTTAACCCCAGTTCATCCCAGTTAACACCAGTTCCATCCTGGTTCCATCCCAGTTAACCCCAGTTCATCCCAGTTCATCCCAGTTAACCCCAGTTCATCCCAGTTAACACCAGTTCCATCCTGGTTCCATCCCAGTTAACCCCAGTTCAATCCCAGTTAACCCCAGTTCCATCCCAGTTAACCCCAGTTTATCCCAGTCCCTCCCAGTTTGTCCCACTTCCATCCCAGTTAACACCAGTTCCATCCTGGTTCCATCCCAGTTAACCCCAGTTCATCCCAGTTCATCCCAGTTAACCCCAGTTCATCCCAGTTAACCCCAGTTCATCCCGGTTCCATCCCAGTTAATCCCAGTTCAATCCCAGTTAACCCCAGTTCCATCCCAGTTACCCCAGTTCCATCCCGGTTCATCCCAGTTAACCCCAGTCCATCCCAGTTCATCCCAGTTACCCCAGTTCCATCCCAGTTACCCCAGTCCATCCCAGTTCATCCCAGTTACCCCAGTTCCATCCCAGTTCCATCCCAGTTCCATCCCTTCATCCCACTTAACCCCAGTCCATCCCAGTTCACCCCAGTTAACCCCAGTTCATCCCAGTCCCTCCCAGTTCCTTCACTGGGTTTGTCCCACCTCGGCCCAGTACGCCCAGTACAAACCAGTACAAACCAGTACAAACCAGTACAAACCAGTACGCCCAGTGCCCTTCCCCCACACAGACACGGCTGCACCGACACCTTTATTGACACCAGTAACGTTCCAGTATA